CTCTCTCTCTCTCTCTCTCTCTCTCTCTGCAGACATGAAGGGGGAATGGTGGATCTCCTGATGTGTCGCGGAAAGTTCGGCAAAACGGTCTGAAAAGTTTTTATCGGGATTCTATGAGAGCACACGCACCGTGCATTTTTTTGTGGATAGATGGCAGAGTCATGCTTTTTTCTTCCCGGTTCTGCACAGCGAATAAGCGAGGAGGTCACACTCTCCTTGCCGGTGGTCGTCCCTTTCTTCACCAGTTTTGGATAGCGAATAAGGGAGAAGGTCACCTTCTCCTTGCCCGAGGTCGTCCGTGCGCCGTGGGTGTAGCCGTGGCGGGTCCACTTGTTTTTTTATAAAATAGTAGTTTTGAGGTTTTGGAGAAGACACATTAATTCCTTTGAGTCATGAAAATTTTACAAACTAAAATTTTAGAAAATTGTAGTTCTTTTGTGGTTGAAATAAACTCGACGTGGCAAAGAGAACAACATAATTGTTTCCAGATGGAAACTGATCAAGTATATCAGGAGGTAAAAAATAGGGTGGTTTTCGGGGAGAAAAAAAAACTATTCGGAAAAATCTAAAAAACGATGTATGTTGTAGATTATAACAGTAACAACTTTTGCCAATGACTGGAGGTCATTTCAAAATTCCTACCAGATTTAGAGAAAAAAAAAGAGCATTTTTTTTTTTTTTCCGGAAAATCTGGATAAATCTTTTTACCTCCAGATGTTCCGGGCTGATAGTCCGGAGAGTTAATCTGGTCGGACATGCCATGCTATCTAGGTTTTCAGCAGCAATTTTAGGCTTAGAGTTCATGGACTTGATATTAAGCACATCATAAAAAAAAAGAAAAAAAGAAAAAAGAAATATATATGCATAATGATCTCGATCATGTGCACAGAATTCTCTCTCAAGAATGCTTTCAGCAAGCACACATCGCAAAGAAAGTTGTTCCACTGCAGCTATCATAACAATGGCAAGGCTTATCTTACACTACGTATTCATAGGGGTATGGATGGAGTGGGAGACGTGGGGCAGCACGAGCGAAAGATGGGAGACGGGGAGGCTGGAACCAAAGGGGAGGAAGGGCGAGGTGAGGGTTGGGGAGAAGGGCTTTTCAAGTTTTCATAATTTTATCGAAATTCTAAAAATGTTGTGGAAATTGTGTTCGATAACACCCCCCTGTTTCCTTTGTTTGGACCCTGCCTGAGCCGCCTCCCAACCCTCCATGCATCCCCAACCTCCCTTCCCTAGACGCCTCCCGACCGTCCCTGCTTTCCTGCACTCCTCTATGCGTACCGTCCCTTCTCGCCTTGCCTCCTTCCCCGCCGCTCCAGCCACCATGCCTTCCCTTTGCGTTCTTGAGTCGCTGCCTGTGTATCACCTGCGGCCGCGGGCGGCCACGGGATGGCCATGGCCGCGGATTTTCGGGATTTTGCCCCAGTAAAAAACAAGAAAAAAAAAGGAAAAAGGGGGTTGTGCAGTTTTCTGAACCCTACAACCCCATTTTCCTTTTCCGAAAACTTCAAAAAAGTTACTTTTCGGTAAAAAGAAAAATGGAAAAGCAAACGGTGAAGAAAAAAATCAATAAATAAAATTAAAAAAACTATTTTTTTTATTTTGTTTTGTTTTTGGTTGGTCGTTCTTTGTCTTCCGGGGGCCTGGACCCACTAGCGAAGTATTCTACGACGTGTGACACAGTTTTATGGTTTTTTGGAAAACACAAAGTGATTTTTTATTTGCATGAATGGATCGTTTTCTGATTTAAGATGAATTGAAATAGCACATAAAAGTATGAAGAACAGCTGTGCACCCGAATGTGTTGGTACCATCTCCTTCACGTAAGTCTTCATAGTGATGTACCGTGGCAATAAAATGTGTCCACGAACACATTCACGAGGATGAACAAGTAACGGGTATTGGGATACATTCCTCACCATGTATCTCATGATGCCTTTAGCAGGCCATCCGACAGACGCGGAAGCGTTCCTGTCAGATCCACTACAATATTCGAATTTCACATTTCGAGTTCTATTTCTCAGAGCCAAAAAAAATAAAAAAAGAAGTCTGGAAATCAACCCTCCCCCTTTAGAGTCCATAAAATCCAGACTTCCCTCCCACGCAAAGCCACGAGCTATCATGTCCAAGTTAGTCCAACTTTGTTTTTTTTTTTTTTTTCGACGCATCTCATTGGACGGGAGGTGGCCATCTTTACAGTCCTGCTCGGAAACTACCAGGACGTCGAGATTCGATGTATTCGACGGCCGTACTGAGTCACTCGATGCCACACGTGATCGAAATCCTGAACGGCATGGTAGAATACCTTGCTAGTGGGTCCAGGCCCCTGGATTTGCTGTTTTTTTTGTTTTTGTTTTTTTCGGTTGTCTTTTATGTCAGATGAAAAATCAAAGAATGCAAAAAAGAACCCCAAACAACAACCCCCCCCCCCTCCCACGATGCCCATGGCACCCCCCCGATCCCCCCGCACACCCCACACCCTCAAAGCCCACACCCCCAAAACCCATCCATTTCAAACCCCCTCCCCCCTAAACATCCCCATCCCCCCACCCAGCCCATCCCCACACCCCCGCACACCCCCAGGGCCCAGACACCCCACACACCCCAAACCTCGCACCCCCAAAGACCACACCACGCACCCCCAAAGACCACACCACACACCCCCAAAACTCATCCATTTCAAACCCTTCCCCCCTAAACATCCCCCCCCCCCCATCCTACCTTGTTCGGCGAACACACTCAAAACGCCTGCCCAAATTCGACCCCCACATGAAACCCCTCAGTCAACAATTGTTTTTTTTAGGGGTAACTTCGGCGCAGTGACGAAAGCAGTTTGTAATTGCATTTGAAACTGCGTTCTAGCAGTTTAATCAGGGCCCGAGTTTCAATTGCAGTTGAAACTCGGGCTGCCTTCCGGTAGCAGTTCAATCAGGGCCCTCGTCTATCCACGAACAGCAGATAAAAACAAGAACAACAACAACAACAGGATGATGCTACAGTACTTGTCTGGAACTGAATGAAACTGCCTTGAGTTTCAATTGCTGTGATTGCGGTCCGATACAGGATGATGCTACAGTACTTGTCTGGAACTGAATGAAACTGCCTCACATGGAATCCGCCCTGCCCGGCTGGCAGGGAGCTACAAGGACCTCACAACAAGAAACAAAAAAGGAAAACGATCTGTTTCATGTTCCTCACTTCCTGGCCAGATACATTCCTCAAAGCACTGGTGACATGAGGGCCTTCCCAACGTAGGTGGATTCAAAGTTCCTCATTTGGATGCTTTCACACGATTAAGCATTTCAAGAGTTACGGTCCGGAGAGGATTAACACACCTACAATTATTAGCACTTTGCACATAATTCTCACTAACACTACACTGCAGCGAGACACTAGTGGTATTATTAAACTGTTTTTTACTGAAGCAACTTTGCTGGGCTACCCACCACACGTTCTCAAGCAGGCAGTCCTGACACTGAGGCGCACGAAGCTGAGACGCAAAGTGGCAGCGGAGCTATTTCGTTGGATCGCACATAGGAAACAGTAGTTGGCAGAGTAGAATCAGATAAAAATTGTTTTGGAATAGGCATTACCGTCACTTGAATCAGCATTACGGTTACTGACACCATATATCAGCGGAACAGACTCGGCCTGTCAAGGATTTTGTGTCTTTTCAGTACAAGTACCATTTTTTGTTGAACCTGGTGACTACGTACGAGTCTGGGATCAGTGGCAATGACGTGAAAAGGATCTGCCACACGAAATTTTGTAGGAATAATTCCCGGTTTCATTTGCATCTGGTCACATGAAATCGACTAACAGCCGTTCGGATCCGATGAGGAAGTACCTTCGGAAGTTGGTCTGCAACACGGGGTCGTAAGGGAAAGGTCCATCACAGGGCACTGCCACGAAACGGTTGCTGCTTCTACAAAAGTTTTTTGAGCTCTGCTAGAACGGTAATTTTTCTTTGGAGTATTTTCAGTCGCTCTTTTGGGAAAGATGCATGTACAGTCTCGGTCTAGACTGGGTTCTTTGTGTGGGGACTCAGGAGATGCGATCTACGGTGATCTTAGGAGTGAGGATAATCGGACGGAGATTGGGCAAGGATCTGGTACTTCGCAGAATACAGCTCGGTAGCTGAGAGCACAACTGCTTAAAGGAGGAGGAAGGGGTATTTTGTCACCTGAGTGGACGAGGCAGAAGGGTGATGCTGGATGCTTGTGAAGAGCATTCCAGTTCCTCCTGTTTTTGGCACATCATGTCCTCCGTGAGAGTAAAGCCTCACATTTTGTGCTAATCTATGAGTCTGTTTTCATACAGCTTATCTGGCAGGGCTCTTGAGTTGTGTGTCTTTTTGCAGGGTAGGTGAGTTGTGCACAACGGAGCGATTATATGCGAAATTGGAGCTATTCTGATCATCAGCTGTACGGTGATCGCTGCTTGCTTCTGAAATTTGGACTGGCTGGAGTGGTAATACACAGAGTGTATCTTTGGCGGTTACCGATTGCGGGTTTTTGGTATCCTGGAGTGGCGACACTCACCTTTGGGCGATTGGTGGCACCGTTGTTTTCTTGTAATTCTATGGTGGGAACAGCGATTATACGTCGGATTTGGGTACGACGGAGTTTGTTGGCCGCCGTCATCACGAGTTCATATAATTTTTTTTGGGTGTGGTACTATTTTGCATGTCCTTCATCTTTGAGTTTCACGTATGGTTGGACCAGGGAGTGTGTAGATTGGTTACGCGTCATAATTATACGATTACTTTTCAGCATTAGGCTTCAGGGCGGAGATGCATCTTTTATTTGTGTCGTAACGTGGCGATTAGATTTGCTGTGTATTATGATTGATTGTTTTTTCGAACTTTTTGAACTATACGGTGGTTTGGTGCGCATTTCTCTGACCAGCGAATAACTTCCGTGACTCTGAAGGATGGGGCCTTCAAGATCTAGATCGAGGTCGCGTTCTAAGTCTCCGGGCCGTAAGAAGAGGAGGGATGAATCGAGGAAGTGAAGATCACCGGAAAGAAGATCGAGCAGATCTCCTGACAGATCGCATGATGACAGGCACAAGTGGTGGGATAGGCACAAATCGAGATCGTCTTCATCTTCAAGTAGGCGACGAAGGAGAAGTAGATCGCATGCCGTGAGGAGAAGCGATTTGAGTTCCCATATAATAAACCAGCGCCAGGTAATCGCGCGTGGTTTACAATGGAACTTCGCGACGAACTGTATGCACTTCGGCGTGAGTTGGATAAGCTAAAGAAGAAGGTTGACAAGCTATCCGAGGATTTCAGGGGGGAGGTGGATCGGCGCAAGGCGGAGTGTAACAGCTCGCTCAAGCTTAAGCAAGAAGTGGACACTGCTATTCGGGAGTCGAACGTGTCAAAGAATGTCACGAAGCCATCCGAAGCTGCTGCGAAGACGCAACACGACGAAAAGACCAAAGCAGATGAGTTTGCCAAGGTCAACAGTGACATGCAGACTCTTCGATGTTAGATGGAAGACATGCGTGATTTACACTATCAGTTGGCGACTATTCAGAGCACAATCAAGTTGAATCAACACTCCGGCGCGTAGACCCTTTCTCTCCCCAAGGAAGGAAGATTTATCGGCGAGCAAGACCCCGAAGAAGGTCACTCCAAACCGTAGTACAGCAGGACCAAGCAGATCGAAGAAACCAGCAGGAGTAAATAGAGATTTGCGACAAAGTACGGTCCGCTCGTCCGCTAGGAGACAGCCCCTTAATGGGAAGCAAATAACTGAAAAGATGCTCAGTGTGTTGCAGATGGAAGATCTTTAGCAGTTATGCGGGAAGCACAACGTGAAATACAAGGGCATGACTCAGGCGAGAGTTGCGTTGAGGAAGGTTCTAGGGCTAGTTGTAGCCATCACGGAGGATCTGCCCGACGTTGAGGATGACGGCGATGAAGTACAAGGCAGGGATCCATCGGACGGATATCCTACGCAGTTCTCAGGATCATCGGGCGAAGAGGAGGACGAGGGTAACTCTTCTGAGGAAGTCGAAGATTCTGAAGAACAGGACAACTCCAGGCAACTCCAGCCGTCTGCCAACTAACAACTGGCACACCCGACGTATACGAGTCTGCTAGATGACGCAATCTGGAGTTTGATCCGGCAATGCAGTAAGTTACTTGGTAAGTTTGTGACACAAAAGCAGTGGAAAGAATGTGCTGTTGTCAATCGGGCTTACCGAATTGGGGTGTTAGCATTATTGTAGAGAGGATAAATATCGTTGGCTGATCGATTTTATGGGTTGATTCAGCAGCTTGAGGTTGAGTGGGATTGTCTATTGCAGATTAGACATTGTGTTTATGCTTGGTTTTCGCCGTGGTGTAGACATTTTATATTGGGAAGACGGTTAGGGGAGTTGACGTACGATGGAAGGAGCATGCGTCAACAATATTAAGGAGCGAGAAGAGGCAGCACAGGGTTCTCTGGTGGGTATGTAAGTTTGGGATAGTAAATACGTACGTATGTATTCCGTTGTGGACGGGTAGTCCCTCAGACATTGAGGCTGTTAAGCGTAAGCTCATTCAAAAGTGGAACCCATATTTGAACACTGTCCATAGACGGAAGAGGTACAGACGGAAGAATAGACACGGCACGAGGACTAAGGGAGCTGTTTACTTTTCAGTAGAGCGTCCACTGTCCTTCACAAATGGGGAGGTAACTACTACGAGACTGTCCACGCTGATCAAACCGCATGTGAATATTCAGTCTTACGGTGGTAATGTTTGGGTCGAAGATTGGAATGTCGTAAAGAGGGTATTTGGTGAGAGCTCAGAGCATCATTATAATCGAAGACAAAAAGTGGTGTCTGCGTCTGCATGAATGCAAGACCGTTATCGAAGCAGGATGTCGATTGACGGTCAGTTACACTTGCTGCGTGAAGAATCTGAGCGTGAAAGCAAGTATCAGGAAGAGACTCATTGGCCTGCTTCGTGCACCATGGACCAGAGCGCACCTATACAGATACTCTCTAACTGGCATCATTGTTTTGTATTCAGGTATGCGGGCTATCAGTTCAAAGAAGAGCATGGGCATACTAAGGGGCTGTATGTCCAGGGTCGCAAGCAAAAACTTTGGTGTCAACATTAGGCGCCAAATGACTTTGAGAATTCTATTTTCTACAGACATTAACCTCGCACGAGTTCGAACGATGCTGCAATCAGCGATTCAGGATAGAATTACACACAGGGCGCTGACACTAACACTGGCAAAGCGTTCCAGGGTCATGTTGGCAAAATCCAAGATAATCGCGGATATTCTACAGAACCATTGCAGGATGATTGTAGAACAACCAGATTGTCCTTGTCTGCGGCTTGACCTCCCGAAACTGGATGACCACGTCTCCTGCAGGCTGTCTAACGTGTGCTCCAACAGACTGATTAGAATGTGCCCTATTATAAGGGAGAAGACAGTAAGAAGGCGATCTTGAGAGCAGCTGGAACCCTGTTGACTTCTCTCCCTCATAAGTACTGTAGTACCGACCAAATGACGTTAGCAGTTGACAATGGTGTAAATCAAATCAATGAATCTGTCAGTGGGGTTTGCGTTGCTGAGGTATTGGAATGGAAAAGGAAACTGCGTGATCTGGTATACTCTCCTCTGAATCGGAATCCAGGGGAGACGTACGTGGAATGTCCTCACGTCTTCTGGAAGAAAATAGATATATGATGTTTATGGGAGTACCTAATTATGCTATGCTGAATGTGAGCATGCCTGACATTCTGGATCAGAGTATGATGACTTACAAGAATCTGGGACTGACTAAAATTGCACCTTGGAATAAACAAGGCACGTACGGACACGCGTACGTCATGCCCAAAGACAAGGATGCCCTCAAACTTCGTCCAATTGTAAGGACGTTTGAGGAACCTTCTCTGCGGGCGTCCAAGATCCTATCCAGATGCGTTAATTTTCTGGTTAGAGAGCTGCAATTAGGTTTTGGGATTGTCGGCACGAACGAACACGTTCCACGAATTACAAAATTAAATACAGACGAAAGGAATGCAGGGGTACGACAATATTCTTTGCTCAACTTTCGACGTTAAGGACATGTTCACGTGCCTGAATCACGCACATATCTTAAGAGCTGCGGATTGGTTGGTCAGTGAGCATCTGGAACGAAAGCACAATCACATCAGGATTAAACTTTCAGGAAAGAAGATCGGACTGGGAAAGACTAAGGGCGTATGGGGATGGATGACCATCAAGCTGCGGGATTTGCCTATTCTACTATAGTTTGATATCTCCCATTCCTATTTTCAACCTATGTTGCACGCGCGGCCGCGGCCGGATGGTCCGAATCGGCCGCGGCCTAGGCCGATGACCGAATCGGCCCGGTTCGGCCTAGGCCGACCAGCCGAGTTTGGTACATGAATTTTTTCCCCCATTTTTCACGTGTAGAAAAAAAAAAGAATATGGGTGTGTAGGGCTGAAAAAGCCCTACACGCCCATATTTTTTTTTGGGTGTCATACCTTCTCGCGCGGCGCAGAAAAAAAAAAAAACGGTACCTAAAAAAAAAAAACGCTGCACCGTTTTGGCCCTGTTTCGGTGCCTGCGGGTGAGGGGAACCGTGTGGGCAGTGTGAGGAGGGCGGTGGGTCCAGGCCCAGGCCACGGCAAAAACTGTTGCCGTTTCAGATAAATGCTGCCATTTATCTGAAACGGCAACAGTTATTGCTGTTGCCGTTATGCTGCCAAACTGCCTGCTCGCACGCTGTGTGTGTGTGTGTGTGTGTGTGTGTGTGNGTGTGTGTGTGTGTGTGTGTGTGTGTGTGTGTGTGTGAGAGAGAGAGAGAGAGAGAGAGAGAGAGAGAGAGAGAGAGAGAGAGAGAGAGAGACCGTTGAGAGAGAGAGAGAGAGAGAGAGAGAGAGTGATCTTCTTCTTCTTCTTCTTCTTCTTCCTTCTATGCTGCGCGGGTGGCTGCGCCGCGCGCCGCGCGATCTTGTGGAACAGCGCGCCGACTGCCGTCGCCATCGCCGCGCGCGGCCTTTTCTAGCTCGTCAGCCATTTTAGTGCCCGGCCGCGGCCGATCCCGGCCGATCCCGGCCGAACAAGGCGGAACACGGCCGGAGGCGGCCGATCAGGAATGGCGCAGCTCGCGACTGTGCAGGGGGCCGACCGGCCGGGGTCCGCGGAAAGCACGGGCGTCGATGACATCGGGGGGAATCGGGCGGTGGCGGCAGCGGGGACGTCGGGGACTGCATCGATGGTACGGCACGGTCCGACGACATCGGCGGTCATCGCGACGGCTTGTTGGATTCGAGTGGGGGGACCATGACGGGGGGTGCAGGAACCAGCGGTGCGGGGGGGTCTGGGGGTGCCCAGTTCAACCCGCTGTCCAAAGAGGGAGATGGCGAAGTTGAGGCGGGGGAACTTGGTTAAGAGCTTCGTCACCGGGGGGCAGTAAGTCGGGGACCAGTCGAAGATGCATGGGGACCAAAAGTTGCGTTGCAACTTATGCGGCCACTTGTTTCAGGGGGGGGCGTCGACGGCCGCGCGCCATTTCACGCAGTCGAAGTACTGCAAGGCTGGGGGGATGAGAGTTCTCGCGGAACTCTGGAACGTCACGGACTACACATTCGTGCCGTCCACTGCTCAGCGGGTGCAGAGGTGGATGGCGGACGAGGGGATACGAGACACGAGAGCGCCCGCGGGTGGCCAACAACAACGGATGGACGACGGAGAGAGGGACGAGATTCAGGACGTCCTCGATGAGGAGGAGGGCCGCGAGGGTGGGGTCAGGGAGGGGGGGGTGGCAGACGAGGCAGACGAGGCAGTCGGAGAGCCTGACCTGCCAGGGGAGGAGGTGGTGATGACGTCGAGAGGCGTCGGTCGAGCGGGTCCCGCTCCTAGGGCACCGCGACCTGATATGGAGCGCGCGAGGAGGGAGAAGAGGGCACTGGGGGAGGCTGACGTCAAGGTGCGAGACACGGGCAGGGAGAAGAGGGCTCGACAGACGACGATTGAGGAGATGTACGACAAGGAGAAGTTGGCCAAGTTTACAGACGCGTGGCTGCAGTTGATCTACGTGGAGGGTTGCCATTCAACGCCTTCCGTAGTCCGGAGTTCCAGAGGGTGCGACAGGCGGCAGAGAGAGTGCCTCACACTATCCAGTTCCGGTTTCCCTCCTACAGGGTTACAGGGGGTGCTGGGATCCCTTCACAGAGGGCGAAGGTGGCGACGATGGTGAGCGAGGTGCGCGCCACTTTCCGGCACACCGGTGCCACCATCCTCTCCGACGGGAGGAAGTCGCGCAGCGGCAAGCCGCTCGTGAACTTCCTCGTCGGGGGCGCCAATGGCGCCCTGCTATACGCCACCGCCGCACGTGACGGGTCGGTCCGGGATACAGCAGACATTGTGTACCGTAGGTGGCGGGCCATCATCTTGTCCTTTCCTGCAAAGGACGTGATCGGCTTCTGCACAGACTCCGCCGGTAACTATACGGCGGCAGCGCGCAGATTCGCCATTGACCTCGAGCCCGACATTAGGAGGATCACTTGGCTCCCCTGCTCCACCCATGTCTGCAACTTGATGTTGTCATATATCGGGACGCAACTGGGGTGGGTCAAGGACACCATCATCCGCGCTCGAGCGCTTGTGCAATTTATTAAATCGCACGGCGCTGCTCACACGCTGTTTAGGAAGGTGAGCCCTCGCGTTCAGCTCGTCGAGCCCGTCGAGACACGGTTCGCATCGGTTTTTCTGATGCTGACGTATCTCAAAGGCCGACGAGACGCGTTGGAGAGCATGTTGCACGGGGATGCTTGGGCACGCATCCCGTGGGAGCGCAGGCTTGTATCGCAGGTGCGGTGGGTGCAACATTAGATCCGGGACGGGGAGTTTTGGCGGTGTGTCCAGTACGCCATCCTTGTCATGGCGCCCGTCCACCAGCTGTTGCGCAGGATGGATAGGGGGGGGATGATGATGTCCGTCGTTTACGAGTGGAGTCAGCATGTGCTGCGGTTGATGAGGAGGGTCGACGTGCCAACGGACATGATCGAGCCGTGCGTGTGTGAGGTTGCCATCCGCAACCTCCACATGCTAGAGCCCGCACATGCCGCGGCCCACCTCCTCAACCCTGGTCGACGGTTCCTCACGTATTACGAGTCGTTACAGACGACCGCCGACGACGCCCGTGTGGTCGAGGAATGCGACAAATTTCTCCTGGCGCGGACCGGCGGCGATTCGGTGGGTAGACTGTACAGGACCGTGAGGAACCAGATGAGGCACTTCCACTCGAGGCGAGGAGATTGGGGAGATCGGTCCCTTTCCGGTGCCGAGGCGGACGATTGCAGGGGGGACCGCGAAACCGAGCGTTGTGCGGCGTGGTGGTTTGACCATGGACGTGCCCACCCGGAGTTGCGCACCATCGCCATCCGTGTCATGCACTTGTGGATGTCTGCCTCTCCAACGGAGAGGAACTGGGCGCAACAGGAGCGCATCAACACGGCGAGGCGCGTCAAGCTTGGGTTTGCCAAGCTTGCACAGTTGGTTGAGATTGTCACCAATCTCAAACTGGCCTCGTGCGCACGGCAGGGTGGTGGGTACGTGTTGCCATGGGTTATGGGGACCGGTCGGGAGGGGACGACTGCAGAGGACGAGGATGAGGAAGGAGACGTGGAGCCCGAGGTGTGGGGAGCGCGACCTGCTGGCAATGTTCCGGAGTAGGACATTCAACGGCAGATTGACAGCCGACCGTCCAGAGCCCATTCGGTTCAGGACGTGTTTGGCAAGAGGGCGACGAAGCTGCGACCGTGGCCGGAGGGTGGGGATGATGCGGACGCTCATGTGGGAGACGACGGCATCGACGACCAGTGGACAGACGATGATGACGCGTCGCCACTCAATGACGACATCGACGACCAGTGGACAAACGATGATGACGCGCCGCTGAGTGGCGACGCGACGGCTGAGCGGGTGTACTTCACTTACGGTGGGGGACGTGACGACATGGCTTCATTCACATCAGTTATCACTGCTGATGTGCCGTCGACCGGACAGGCGAGTGGCAACAGCAGAGTCGGCGGTCGTCGTGGAGGACGTTCGCACGTGGAGGTTGGCGTCGACGACTCGGGGGAGCAGGAGCCACGGGGAGGCCTTCAGCAGACAGGCAGGCATTGGGAGGTTAAGAGTGACAATGAGGCCGAGGAAGAGGCCGAGGATGAGGAGGTGCACCTTCCCGATCGTCACTTCTCTCCCTCCCATCATCCGAGCACTGCACAGCCCGAGGCACTTAGGCGTTCGGAGAGGTTGGCGTCGACAGCAGGTAGAGACCGAACACATGACGGCGAGGATCGTGGGGGGGAGAGGACTCCTTCCGACGCCGGTATCCGCCCCCGCTCGCCGTCGGAGCTCCGCACACACGACTCTGACGTTGGAGGACTTGGTGGGGGCTTGGGAGATTTCAGTGCCGAGGGACGTCGACGTGCCTCACTGTGAAGGTGCGCACCGACGAGGACGTTGTGCGGGGCCTTGTTGAGACTGAGGAGGAGCGGGATGCCTGTTTGGACCGAGAGGAGGAGGCGCGGCTGCGGAGTTTGCCAGGATGGGAGGGTCGGTTCGCGTATGTTGAGGACCAGCATCGGCAAAGGGAGTTGGAGACAGGAGGGGGGGGAGGCCCGTGACGCCGATGACTCGGGTGTCCCTAAGGAGGCAGTTCAGGGGGAGTTCGTTGATGAGGGACAGGATGCCGTCACGGGTGGTGGGTCAGGTGGTGGACGACGCGGCGATGGGGAGACCGCGGGTGATGAGGGGCAGGATGTTGTTTTGGGCGGTGGGTCCCCTTGTGGAGGACGTGGCAACGGCGAGACCGCGGGTGATGAGGGACAGGGTGCTGCCGTGTGTGGCAGGGGAGAGGGTGGACCCGGTGGAGATGGGGATACCGCGGGGGAGACGATGGACTGGACGGAGATGATGACGACGACCACGGTCCCGAGGACGATGTGTATAGGCTCGCCTTGGTGTTGAGGGACCCCATAGTACCTCCATTGCGCCCTGACGATGACGCTTTGGCGCAAGCGTTGAGGGATGACCCTTTCGCACACACGGGCCGCAGGAGCGGCAAGAGGTGGCCCCCTGGAGGGGAATATTCACCGCCACCGTTCGTAGTGCAGAGCCCTCGATGGTCGGGTTCGTCGCTCAACGACGTGAGAGGGAGGGAGTCCGGAGCAAGTGAGGTGGGGTCCGGCTTACGCAGCGAGGGCGGCAGAGACAGTGCAGGATCGATGCCTCCACCGCCCGCACGGGCTCCGGAGGCTGGCGTTGACGCCGAGGACTAGAAGGCGGCACCGGGAGTTGCGCATAGTGGTGGTTCCCCGCCGACAGTCCGAGGTGGTGTAGGTGGCGGATGGTCAACTGTTCGTCGGGTCGGGGACCGGTTGCGGGCGGATTACGATGCCGGGAGGGGCGTCTTCGCGGGACGTACGCCAGTTCAGACGCAGGCTGCAGAGGGTGGGTGCGGACGTCCGAGCCTGCAGATGGCAGGCCGCATGCTCGGTTTGTCACGAGCGGCGACGAGGAGATTATTGGTCCTCGAGGCCGCAGGGACATCCACAGACATGCTGCGGGGACAGCAGTACACATCGGGCGAGGAGGGGTTGTTGATGCGTCCTGGGACGAGACGACAGCGCGGCCTCTCGGAGGTTGAGGCTCGACTCGCGACAGAGGTCACCGCTGACCAGGCAGCACTGAACGCGATTCAGAGGGAGAGAGAGATAGAAATTGCTGCACGGGCGGCGGAGGACGAGGACGCAGACACAGAGTCCGAGCCGATCGAGACTGTGGCCCGCAGACACAGGGCACAGGTGGCCGCGGCAGCCGCTGCAGCACAGGCGGCATACCTCAGCGGGGCACAGGGCACAGGTGCCGGAGGGAGAGGAGGGCGCCGGGGAGGACCGCATGGCCGCCCGTCCTCCGGGAGAGACCGCGCGCGCTCTGGAGGGAGATGACGACGTCCGTGTTTTTTTTTTATTTCCTTAGTTTTTTTTTTTTTGCGTGGCTGGACGCTCTGTCAGCAGGGTTGTTGCATATTTATGTCGATGTTGTTCCATGGAGACGACGACAGTATGTGGACATTAGGGTTTCTTTTTTTTTTTTTTTTTTTGCTACTCGGTTGTACGGTAGAGACGACGGGTTCAATTTTTGGCTTCAACCTTGTACATACGCATTTCCATTGAAATGCGTTGTCATTCATTTGCTCTTGTTCGTGTTCCTCTCCCAACCTTGGTTTTGCATCTGAGTCGCTGTTGTTTGGTGAGTGGTTTCTGGTTTGTTGTCGTGATTGTTGCAAATTATGTGCTTCTCCGATGCCACGCACCTGCATGTCATGGATGCCTCAATTATGAATGTGCTGTTAATTTCGGATGCCAAATAGGGATGATGTGCTAATGAATGTGTTTTTACACAAACTTCCACCTGTCTGATTAGTGAACACACACTATGACACACTTGCCTGTTAACATTGTTTGAAACTTATGGTTGACCCAACTTGGCCGCAATGTGATTGATTGTGAATGTGTTCTGACTTTGGTATGCCAACTAGGGTTTGACCTATGATTGCCATGAATGTGTTGTTTCAAAATATGTCACGAACTATCATCACCCTCACAAATGAAATCGACACCTGCCTAAGGCCCTGATCTGCCTGGGGTCTGCCATCTGCAGCCCCGCCCAGCTTCGACCCGACCTGGCCGCACGGCCCGCCCCAACCAGGCCCTCATCCAACCCCCGTTCGGCCGCCCCCGCAGGGTTCAAATATTTTTATTTTATTTTTCTAGTGTTCCAGACCCTCTTCTCTGCGACCCGGCATCGACAAACCCGCACGCGGGGGACGCACGAATTTTCGCGGCCCACCCTTCCAGGGCCATGTGCAGGACCCCCTCGTTTTTTATTTTTTTGACGCTCTGCCACTTTGAGGGGGTGCCCCCCCCCCCCCCACCTCAAACCCGCTCCCCGCTTCGGAAACCGCCCCCCAGATCGGTCGAGGCTGAGGCCGAAAAAACTCGGCCGGACCGGCCGCGGCCGGGGGGGTCCCGGCCTAGGTGCGGCCTGGGCCGAACACGGTCGCGGCCAGCGTGGAACATAGACTGAAACAGATACAGGGCATTCCAATGGGTAAAGGATCTAGCCCACCAATTGCAAATGTGGTTTGCAATTATGATGAATATCTGTGGAAGAGGTCTCTTGGCACTGACGAGAGGTTTATTCATGGGTTAAGATTCGTTGGTGATGTTTTTCTTGCTGTAATTGGGAAGGAAGACAAACCACGTCAGGCGCTGCAGATGATCCAGGATTCCAGGAGATGCTATCATCCATCACTGAAACTGGAGTGTACTGCGGAAGTGAGTGCGACCGAGTTAAAATACTTGGAAACGACTGTGTGCAAGCAAGAGAACGGACCCCTCTTGAAGTGCTTACATCGTTTAAAGAATTACGAATCACTCCGGGAGGGGCGATTTGGACGCTTTCGCACGATTAAGCATTTCAAGAGTTATGGTCCGGAGGACCGGAGCGGATTAAGACACTTTGCACATAATTCTCACTAACATTACACTGGTATTATTAAACTGTTTTTTACTGAAGCAACTTTGCTGGGCTACCCACCACACGTTCTCAAGCAGGCAGTCCTGACACTGAGGCGCACGAAGCTGAGACGCAAAGTGGCAGTGGAGCTATTTCGTTGGATCGCACATAGGAAACAGTAGTTGGCAGAGTAGAATCGGATAAAAATTGTTTTGGGTGACGAATAGGCAATACCGTCACTTGAATCAGCATTACGGTTACTGACACCATATATCAGCGGAACAGACTCAGCCTGTCGAGGCTTTTGTGTCTTTTCAGTACAAGTACCATTTTTTGTTGAACCTGGTCACTACGTACGAGTGTGGGATCAGCGGCAATGACGTGAAAAGGATCTGCCGCACAAATTTTTTTAGGAATAATTCCCGGTTTCATTTGCATCTGGTCACGTGAAATCGACTAACAGCCGTTCGGATCCGATGAGGAAGTACCTTCGGAAGTTGGTCTGCAACACGGGGTCGTAAGGGAAAGGTCCATCACAGGGCACTGCCACGAAACGGTTGCTGCTTCTACAAAAAAATTTTGAGCTCGGCTAGAACGGTATTTTTTTTTTGGAGTATTTTCAGTCGCTCTTTTGGGAAAGATGCATGTACGGTCTGGGTCTAGACTGGGTTCTTTGTGTGGGGAGAGTGAGGATAACATGACGGAGATTGGGCAAGGATCTGGTACTTCGCAGAATACAGCTCGGTAGCTAAGAGCACAACTACTTAAAGGAGGAGGAAGGGGTATTTTGTCACCTGAGTGGACGAGGCAGAAGGGTGATGCTGGATGCTCGTGAAGAGCATTCCTGCTTTTGGCACATTATGTCCTCCGCGAGAGTAAAGCCTCACATTTTGTGCTAATCTATGAATCTGTCCTCGTTTCTTTACTTTTCTATTTCTTCTTTTTCTTTTTCTTTTTTCGGCCTCCATCCCTGCCCCGAGCCCCCCACTTCTTCGGAGTAGGCTACGCCTGAGACTTCGCGTTTGCCTGTGAAGGGTAGTGCCTGCGAATCTCGGCTGTGGCCAAGACATCTCGGCCGTGGCCAATCTAGGGTATGGCCTAGACATCTCTGCCGTGGCCAGTCTGGGGTGTGGCCGAGACATCTCGGCCGTGGCCAGTCTGGGGTGTGGCCGAGACATCTCGGCCGTGGCCCAACTATGGGGCTGTAATTTTTTTTTTTTTTTCAGCCATGGGGTGGCGCAGTGCGTTGCAGCACGCGGCCGAAACAAACAAACAAACAAACAAACAAACAAACAAACAAACAAACCGAAGAAAGAAAGAACGGGCCGCGCCGCAGTGCGCAACCGAACAAAAAAAAAACGATGAAAGAAAGAAACGGCCATGTGCCTGACTGAACTGCTAGAAAAAGCCAGCCCAAGTTTCAAACTGCTAAAAAGCAGTTTCAAATGCAATTGAAACTCGCAGTTTCAAATGCAGTTACAAACTGTAACCCTGACTGCGCCGTAGTTTTCTCTTCTTATAATTCATTTCCACTATGTACGTCTTGTACAAATAGTTATAAAAAAAATCATTCTTTTAGGAAGTTTTAGCATAAGAAAGAAATCATTTAGAAGGACAATTTAATAAAAGATCTACTGAAATGACAAAAATGATCGACAAGGCTCTCCCCTTCTGCCGGTGAGCCGAAATAATGTTATATTTTAATTCTTCCTGGATTTGGTATAACCACCACCAGGCTGCGCGAAGGGCTAGCTGACAGGGTGCAAAAATGACGCCAAACGTCATTTTAGGGCCTGCAGCACTTTTTGCCCCATTTGGGTTTAAACAAGGGTTAATTGCAAAAATATTGCTTTTTCCAAGTTTGGCAGCAAAAATAGAGGATTCGTTGCAACTTTACTGGGAACCCGTAGTTTGGCAGCAAAAATGTCGCGTTTTACCAAGTTTCACAGCAACGGACCCGTAGGCCTCTGGCCTCAGGTACTCAGGCACTCAGCGTTCGGGCCTCAGTTTTTTTTTTTTTTCAGCGTTTTTTTTTCAGCGTTTTTTTTTGTTTTTGTTTTTGTTTTTGGCGCGGGCGTGGCCGAGTCATCTCGGCCGTGGCCACGCCCGAGATGCCTCGGCCACGGCGGAAATTTGAAAGAAAACAAAAGCACCTCTACGCCCGTGGCTGTGCCGCTATGCCTCGGCCACGCCCGCGCGAGAAAAAAAAAAAAAAAAAAAAAAAAA